TCTCTCTCTCTCTCTCTCTCTCTCTCTCTCTCTCTCTCTCTCTCTCTCTCTCTCTCTCTCTCTCTCTCTCTCTCTCTCTCTCTCTGTGTGCTGTCTTTTCCTGCACTCAGGTCTCACGATCTCTCTCTGAATGTCGTTGCTCACCCTCTCTGCCACTACTGCGCTATTCTATAGCTATGGCGCCCAGCACAGGCGACTATCTTCCTCACCAGGCATTTTTCACCTTCCCTGGATCCTGGGCACAATAACGCAGCAGTGCTTCCACATAAGCCAGAATCGAAGAACAAGAGGTTCCTGGCTCCGGCCTCCCTTTTGTGCATGCCGGTACCTCCCGATGGCTGGCGTTGTTGGTCTTGTCGAGCCTTGCAGCGGCCGAGAAAGAATTAGGCTGTCCCTAAGACTTCCTGGGACTCTGCTGTGACCTGATGGGGACTCGACACGCGGCTGATAATAATTTTAGTAAGGGACTTCTACTGTTCCTATGGGATCACTATTCTGGCCTGTACAGTACCTACCGGAAAGCTCTACATTCGGCCCTATGGTACAAAAGAAAATAGGACGCAGTACCTGTGCCGGACTGCTGAGGCGTGTGAATCGTCTCTCTCCCACCACCTAATTTCGAGGTTCTCTGAGAAGAACTACTTATTTTAGCTAAAGCTGCTGCCTCCAGAAATCGGTGGTTTGCCATGAGCTATTCTCTTCAGCTCAAAGCTTAGATACTTGTCAAGATTTTGCTTAAGAAATGGTTCATCAGGTTGAAACGACCCAGTGCGCAAAGAACTGGGTCATCCCTCGCTATGGCAGCATCAGGAGTAGTATATGCATGGCTGTCTACTTGGTCAGGGGATGGCCATTTCTCTGTTACTATGGTCAACGGATGGCCGTGATCCTTGACCCAGTGCGCAAAGAACCTACGGATTACCAATCTGTCTTTACTTTTGCTAGCAAAGGGAACAAATTCTGCATACGTACTGAATCGGTCCACCATAACCATAACTTGACTATTCCCATTGCTGCTTTTGACATTCGTGTCCATAAAGTCTGTAGTCACCGAATCTCCAAGTCCAGAGGGAATAGGTAGAAGGTGTAGTGGCATTTGTAGGAGCATAGTAAGCTAGCATAGGTCTTTCTCCAGGTGAGATGTCTGGTTTCTGGATCGGTCTGGTATCCAGGTTCAGCGTAGCGCTGTAGATGTCTTCTGAAACCGCTTAGTTCAAAATGTGATTCTCGCCACCCGCAATATATGTGCATTGTGCAATGATCTAAGCTCAGATTCGCCTTACACACACGTGCAGAATGAAAGCTCGCAGGAAGATTCGCACCGAAGCCAGAAGTGGGAACAGGAATCAGCGCAGCTCAAGAAACTTTATTGAATCGTCATATTATACAAAGCAGAAGTACAAGCGTCTGGCACTCATCAGCGCAATAACCAGCAACCCTAAAAACAGGTAAGTACCCTGTGCCCTCCTCATGTGACTTCTCTCTTTCTTCTCTCTGGCTTGTATCGCTCTGCTTCACACTCTCTAGTAACCCTGGATCGTACCCTGGATACACCCACTCAGATGAGCTCTCAACTCGGCGGCTATGGCCGCTCAACCTCCCAACTCTCTACCCTAGCTGTGGAGTACTTTGAGCGCCCTCTCCTCCTTCAGGCACGATGTGCCCGAGTCGCCTCAATGCACAAGCAGCAGCAGCGCTTCTGCATCTTGCAACTGAACAAGTGATGAGCCGCTGGACTGTAGCAGCTAAGCATACAACTGGACTTGACTTGGGCTGCTTCAGCCCAGTACCGGTTGGCCACAGCTTGTCTGCTGCAATCATTTTGTCGGTTCGGTTGCTTCCGGACTTTCCTGGGACATGCGACCTTACAGTACTGGCGTCTACAGACCTACAACGCTTCACATACGAGCCTTGGACGGACAGCCTGGGACCAGGACCATCTGGGACTGGTACCAACTGGGACTGGGACAATTTGGGACGCTGGAATCGGGAGTCGGGATGTCTGCAGCGTGAAATCCTTTCATATGAGTGAGCCTGGTCCAAAATCACTTTTTTCTTTGATCCGCATTGCTGACCAAGATGTGAACGAACCTGGTTTCGAATTGCTCTTTCTCTGTGTGCAGGATGCTATTGACCGCACGGTGACCAATGCCATTGGGAATGATCACTCACGGCTTGCTCACTATACCATCAAGCGATTTGTCCCATTCAATCCTGTTGACAAGCGAACAGAAGCAACAGTCGTCACAAATGAGGGTAAGACAAGGCAGTACCTGTTCGCTGGCAACACTGTACATACCTGGAAATTTGTGGAAAAGCTAAAACTGAACATACAAACACTAGGTCATTGAGGGGATTCGAGCTTTATCCAAGTGCAGGGGCCAGGACTGACACCAGATCCAGTGGGCACACAATGCGGCTGACTGATGCAGGAGGCTTGCGCACAGCTCAGGACCACCATCTGCCATTCCGTCCATACCGCTTTGATGGCTCAACGACTTTTCCCCATGTTTATGCCACTGGCTATCCCAGCTTTGCCACCTGCTTGTGTGGAAACCAGGATTGCTTACAGTATGTTTTCACATGGGGTGTGGTCATGGAAGGCTATTCAATAAAAAAAAACAAGAAGAAGATCCAATGTGATGTCCCTCCTCATCTCGCCTCAATCATCAACCCTCATGTAATCTCCTCCTCCTCTTTTCTTTTGTGTTTTTTAAACTTTTTTGTATTTTTTTTGTTTTTTGTTTTTGAAAAACAGTGCGAGGAATATGAGCGAGAGTGAGAGCGATAGACAGAAATCCAGATTGCAAAATCACGAAGTACAGATGGACTTGTACCAAGCAGAGAGCACAATGCACCAAGATACCATCCAAGTACGAGCAATACAATGAACTTGTGTGCCAATGTCGACGCTCTCTGGCCACACCAACACAGTATCCAATGTCGCACCTACTGTCTGGCGCCCAGCGCCCAGCCTACACTGCTCAGCCTATCTACTCCTATCTAGGTTCATGCAACTGGATCACATCGAAGTTGAAGACCAATGTACGCGACGTCATCACAACTGCAGACCGCCAGAACACACCAGGTACGTTCTCTCTCCTCCCCTCATCACGCCTCAACACCGCACTTTGTGCGCCTCCTACCCGACGACCACCACCGCCATCACCTGCCACCACACACTCGGCCCAGCTATGGCCGCCGTGCGCCTGCTGCCACCGCAGCGCCCTCTCACCTCTTACACCCGCGTGCGCCCTGGCCTGCCTGCTGAGCACAGCAAAGCATGGCATAGCAGCAGTGTGGCCGCATTGCCTGCTGAGGCCAGAATGCCCCTGCCTGGGCAGGGCACTTTCCTTTATGGAAAGTGCGGCCCTGTGTTTGGCTGTGTGGGCCTGGCTGGACAAGTTTCCAGTAGCTTCCAGTCGGGCTCCAGTGTCTGTGCCCAGGCCCACCTTTGCTGTTGCGGGCCCGGGCCCTTTACAGTTGGGCACGTCCAGGCAGCCCTCAAGGCTCCAAGTGTTTGCCGCATTCTCATCGGCTCGCGGTGGATGTGTTACGACAATGCTGCATTGTCATTGGCCCGCGGCCAATCCGTGATGTGTCGGCCTCCCACCGCCTGTGCCCAGGGCGCAACCGCCTGAGCCCTGGGCTCAACTGTACAGCGCAGTTCTTGTTTCTGGAAGGAGCCTCCGAAGGCTCATGGTGCTCGGTAACCAACTGGCGTGCTGCAACTGTCTGATACCCCACATATGGAAAATGTCGGAAACAGGCCCTGAGTGGATATTCAGGTCCGCCTTCACTTAGGTCGGGCAAGAGGTTGGGCAATCTGGAAAAGGAGATGCGACCTGACCTTCGAGGAGCACCCTACTAACCATGAAAACCCCCTCATTATTATCAAACAACTAATAGAAACCGAACTCATTGTCCTCTGGGAAAAAACAAAAACACAGATACAAAACACCCCAGACAAAAAACTCGAAATTATCAAAAGATTCACGGAAGGAAAACTAGGAGGAGGAACACTAGGAACAATAATAAGAAACAGCCTGGTCTTTAAGGACTGGCTCACAATATCGAACCAACCACCCTCTCACAGACCATTACCGGAGGACCAACACCACCGCAATCTTCCTGTCAATCTCGATATGTGCACCTAACCACCTAATCACAAACCAGTCAATCAATGAATACATATCAAGAGGAAAGAGTCTGTACCGGATAGCTCTGACCTTTGTAAGGTATGCACAGATAATACAGTAGAGGATATAGTACATTGCCTAATATACTGCAAAGAAGCAACAGACTATTGGACGAGAACATCCACCCTTTGGGATTCCCTCTTCCCTTCCCCGCTTCCTAAGAAATCCACCCAACTTCTCCTTCTGATTGTCATCCCTAAGTTGACACGGAAAGCAGAAAGGATCTGGGACGTGCTCACCAGGAAGACCTCCCTATGGGTCATACGGAAGGAAAGATGCAGCAGAAAGATTAAGGGAACGGCAAACGCTTCAACAAAACCCAACCAATCTCAACAATAATTAAAAAAAGATGGGAAAAACATGAGAGCACTCTAGGAGAATCACTGGTACTCCCTCACTGGCCCACAATCTTCGGCACTAGACCGGTCAAGCTGGCCAGCCTCCTCTGGCTCATAGCATTCAGAGCAGTCCCGGTAAACCAATGGCTAGCCCAGAGAAGAAACAAGGACAGTAGAACGGAACAGTCAACCTGGTGCAAGGTATGCAACAAGCAAGCAGAAGAATCTATAATACATTGTTTGTTAGATTGTGAACATGCAAAATAACTATGGTTGAAGAATCTATAATACATTGTTTGTTAGATTGTGAACATGCAAAATAACTATGGTTGGACATAGAACTCTCATGGAATACTCTATCCAATAGAAATATACTCATAAACCCCGCTACCATACTCCTTCACGCAGACCAAACTCCTACACTCAAAGGTTTCGACTACTTCCTCTTTTCTCTACTCAGAAAAGGAACCCTTTGGGCCATTTGGAAAAGAMGTTGCTATCTAACTTTCAACGACCAYCACGCCCCCGCAGAAACACCCCTAATKATCATCAAACAAATAGTTGAAACAGAAATTYTAGCAGTWTGGAAAAGAAACCTACAYCAAAKCCMRTTACTACCAGACAAAAAAGAAGAAAGTACCAAAAAAATCCTAATCCACAAACTAGGACAAGGCAAACTAGGTACAATCGATAGTGACAGAATTAGGTTCTCTAATTGGTTAATCTGGCCCTCAACAACCAGACGCACACATGACCAAACCAATACACAACTCATTCCACAAACTCCCCCCAACCCAACCSATCCACACACACACTAACCATAACAGATGAAGAACCCACCYGTAACTCCCCTCGCCCCACACCATCCCATCTCAGCTAACACCATAAACCACTAAACCCGTTTCCTCCCACACAATTACAATCCCACCCTAATCTCAATAACCATCACAGCCCCTCCCCTAGCCCACAGCCTTATACCCCTYGGTACGGAATCACATAATCACCTGCCCCTCACACCTCACTCTTCTCGTCTCCCTCCCTCCCATCCATCTCGCTCAGAATCCACAGGTATATACAACACCCCCAACAAGGAAACCTCTCTTAGGGAAGTCCCCTCATACAAGCCGCAGTCAGCAAGGGTTTAGGGCTTTAGTTCCAAAAAAGAAAAAGAGCAGAAACATAGATGATCAGGCTAACTTAGGCAGGGGTGAAGGGTGGTACATCCCTCTTTTATGAGGTAGTCAATGCCGTCCTTCGGGCCTCCACACCTTGAGGGGGAGGTGCGTGAGTGAGTATTTCTTGTAATTTTACCAGACTTGCCTGTGGAATAGGAACCGGACTGACGCTCCCCAGAATGGAAAAGGAGCCAGAACTAAGGTTAAAAAAATAGGGGATGGCAAACGCACGAGAAAGAGTCTGGGTGGAGGCGAAGGTTTTGATACAGGCAGAAATTCTACGCGGATGGAAGAGGATCAAGAGTACATGGACAGACGATGAAGAGAAGCAGCAGAAGGCTTGAAACAAAGTTCATCAAGACATCGTTGGCAGGGGGGAAGGTCGCTGAGTTGCGGGACGATCGTATCTGTTGGAAGGAGTGGCTCAACTCCGCGTCAAGAAGGAATCTGGAACAGCAAAGCATAGAACCAGGGCGTGGAACCCTCGAGCCAGAATCTAACTGAGACAGCTCAGCCTTCGGGTCACTACTTTTGACGTACAACAGTGGGGACCAAGATGCAGGCTGGTAATGAAGGCGAGCGAGGGAGGTAAAAGGGTCAAAGCAAAGGGTTTCTGAGCAATGAGCAAGGCTAGGGGTCACCGCCAGAGATGGTATCAGAGAAAGGACCGAGATCGGCGCTCGGAGGACGCAATGAAACCCACAAACCAAGGAATATGTGTGCGAACGGAGCAGAAGTTGGGCAAATCATTGAGGGGAAAGGAAGGGCAGTGGTAGGCATAGGGACGGAATGTGGGGAGGCAAAGGTCAAACAACGAAAGGAATGGGCTGATGAAGGGTACGTTTACAAAAGTGTGAGAAGATAGGGCTTGCTCGAAAGAGTGGCATAATTCAACGGCGGGAAGGAGCTTGCAACAAGGTACAGGACCAGAAGCCTTAATGGTATCCTAAGACACTAAAGGTAGTAGACGATCCTTGAATGGGAATGGTATATCGGAGAGCTATTACGAAGAACGAGGGTTTAGGGTTCAGGGTTTAGTGGTTGCTCGGGTAAAAGGAAAGGCAGGTCGAGGGGGAAGGGCTCGGGTTGATAATGTTAACAGAGGAACTCTTTCTAGGTTCAGCGATGGTATTTGGCAGACCCAATTGTCAGGTCTGAGAGGAAAGAGAAAGATGGGCAAGCTGGCAGTCAATCCTCCACTGAGGTGGAGCAATCAATGCTGCCCAGGGGTCCTTCGGCCAGAAGGAAGGAAGCGTGATTGAGTCCCAGCAATGTAATATTTTTGACTTGCCGGTGGAATAGGAACCGGACTGACGCTCCCCAGAATAGAATGGAGCCGGGACCATAAGGCCCTGTTTAAAAAAAAATAATAATAATAATTAAAAAAAAAAAAAAATAGAGGTCGGGCAAGAGGTTTGCTGGGGGCCGCAGCCCAGAACACTTGCATGCCCAAGAAGGGCCTCGCGAGGGCTCATTCATCGCATTCCATCCCCGTTGGCTTCAAAAGTCCGCTGAGATGCTTCTACGCAGGTGCCTTCACCTTC